TACTGCCAGGCATACATGCACAAAGCTAAAACCACTGCACTATTGTGCCACTCCCAGAGAAGCCTGCAGCACATCCAAATGACAAAGCATCTTATCGCTTCAGGGTGATTACAATCTCAAACATTTCTACAGCGACTGGCAAGACTTCACAGTTGCTCCATGCTCTTACAAAGCCTTTTCATAATACCTAATGCTTCCCCATGGGTATCTCCAAAGTATTTCTGCCACCTCATACTTTCACATCCAAAAACATAATCACAAGCACATGTTCCAAGCCACCTACTGGGGGTAAAAAAACATAAACATAAGTATTTCCAATTTTAAATCACTGCTCAGATATCTCCTGAAGAGACTCAGATAATAAATTTCACCACACTGCCATCTTCCTTCAGCCCAGTCCTCCATTGCCCTCAATACCAGTATCCTCACTCAACAAGGGATCATCTCCAGTGAGAGTTGCTGAACAGTAGTTGCATTATATCATCCTAATTCCATCTCCTACCAGCCAAAAAAAAAAACCCACACAGAAATGTGCTCAGTTAACCCAGGGTTATCTGGCACACTATTAGCCGTACTGCATTTCCTCAAGGATGACACTGATAATTGGCCTTGATATAATATCTATTACATGAAAATGTACCAATAGGTAGTTCCTTGAGTAGCAGAATTTAGCAGAATTGGTAACACCTCCTCAGGGTATGTCTCATGTTTGAAACTACTTATTTCTAAGAAAACAAAGATGGTTTCTGAGTTCTTCAGCTCCCTCCAGATTCCCTGTGGAGTGGGTTTACCCTACACTATTTACCCCAGCGAGAAGAATAATAGGGTTTTGCAACCAATGTGGCGGCTTTTCCTCATGAAACCTTACAGACAATTACATCCCCAGCCAAATTTAACCAAAACTGTCTTCAAAAGTTACTATAGTAACTTTTAAAAGTTACTATAGGTGAAAGTCAGGGAGAAAGGCAATCTGATCCCATACACCTGGTTTTCTCAGAAATCCAGGCAAAAAATTCAGCAGCTAATATATGAACAGAAGGAACTTGTTCATTCTCAGCATAATACCGTTAGATATAAAATGGCACATTGCAAATTACTGCATTCTTTTAGTACAATCCTGTATATTTCTGAAGCTACCCTAAGGCACAGTTTCCCCAAAGGAACATCTAAATGTGACACAAGAATGCAGATATGGTGTAGAACCTAGAGCTTTTAACTGCTAGTTCAATTTGAGGTCATTGGCACTTTTATTCTCCTGTAAATGCAAAGATAGAAAAGCTACTGTGCTGCCTTCTGTTAGAAATGTCTTCCAGAGTTTCTTTTTTTTTGGTCTGGAAAAGAAAATAGAAAACTATAGAAAATTTTACAAAGTTTAAGCTTCTCTAAAATATCCACACACATTTACTTATGCAGAAAGAAAGTACTATTAAAAAAAAAAATGGCTAAGGGGAGGAAGGAGTACATTATAACCAACACAAAAAATAAGCTGTGGTAACACAGTTGTTTCCTACCACAGTTTCCCCACATTTCAAAATTTTGTTACAACCTAAGACAATTGGCTCAATTATCTATATTTTTCACATAGTCAGAAGTTCTGAATGTTTTAAACACAAATATTGAAACAGTTCATTTGAAACATGTGAAATACTATAACAGTTAATTTTTTTAATTCTCAAACTCAGTCAAGTGTTTCAACACTTCTAAGTCAAAATGCTACATTTTGGTAGCATACTCTGAAAGTAGACATTTAGGATGAGTTAAAGCTGGTACTTTTGCCTGCTTGAGCTCCCTCAATAGACTACAAAACAAAAGGACTGCAAATTAGCTTTTGGAGCAACTCTGCAACCTTCACACAAGAAATTACATATAAAAAAAAGGGGAGGCAAGTATCACTGGTAGAATAAATGTCAGCAGGAGTAATTTGCAAAATATTTATATGTATATATATATGTACACGTGTGTACACTATATAATAACATACTATTATGTCATACAGCTTAACTATTCAAACAGCCAATCAAGAATAATTCAGTAAAAGCCAGAATTAAATGCATGATCTTGGCACTTCCATTTGGAACCACATAGCCCTTTCTGTGCAAAGACAGACATCATGCAGTGAAATATAAACAGCAAAAGACTTTCAACAATTCCAAGAAAATGGGCAAAGCAACATTAACTGTATGCTGCCTACATCAGAATCAATAACTCTTATGAAAATAGTTATGCTATATTTTTTGAAACTTCAGAAGATGGTGCCTAGTCCTGTCAGTGTTTAATATAAACCCCTTCCATAAAATTAGAGAGATGTCTTTTAAAATTCTTTAATAATCCAGGCAAAAATTTTGCCCCATTGCCTCCATTATAGATGCTCCAGACACTGCAGCTTTCATTGGCTTAATTAAGAAACCACTTCTCTTGCTTAAATTTTATTCTTTCTGCTTTACACTCTGATGCATGTAGGATCATATCCTCTTATCCTCTGCTTTGCTGTACTAGATGTATTATGCCCTTCTTAATATCGTCTCAAAAACAAGCCCTCCATTCTCTTTATCTTTCTAATACTTCTTCTCCCAATTCAGTTAAACTATCTTTCTTAAATACAGACATCTAGATCAGAATAGCTGAGGTCTCATTAGGGTTTAATGATATTAAAACTTTCTTAAAAATACAATCCTAAGAAAGGGCAAACAAAGTGTTGTCTTTTGTCACAGCCACATCATGCTGATGGCTTATTGCCAAAACCAGACCAGGCAATATTAATTTTATTCCAGCACAAGCAATCCATGAGGTTCCTCAATTGTGTGGAAGACAACTTCCTCTTGCAAGTGATAGAGGAGCTGACAAGGAGAGGTGCCATGCTTAACCTCGTGCTCACCAAAAGGAGGAGCTGGTGAGGAATGTGATGCTCCAGGGCAGCCTTGGCTTTAGCAACCATGAGATGGTCAAGTTCGAGATCCTGAGGGCAGCAGAAGGGCACACAGCAAGCTCACTGCCCTGGACTTCAAGACAGCAGACTTTGGCCTCTTCAGAAACCTGCTTAGTAAGGTTCCATGGGATGAAGCCCTAGAGGGCCAGAGGCTAAAGAATGCTGATTCAAGGATCACCTGCTCCAAGCTCAGGAGTGTTGCATCCCAACCAGAAGGAAGTGCAGCAGGAGGGCCAGGAGACCTCCTTGGATGGATAAGGAGCTCCTGAGGAAACCGAGAAGGAAAAAAGAAACTTACATAAGTTGAAAGTGAGGAGAGGCAGCGTGGGAGGTATACAGGGACATTGTCCAGGAAGCTAGGGATCAGGTCAGGAAATCTAAGGCCCAGTTAGAACTGAGTCTGGCCAGGGGTGTCAGAGATAACAGGAAAGGCTTCTATAGGTATGTCGCTAACAAGACAGACTAGGGACAATGTGGGCTCTCTCCGGAAGCTATCTTGAGAACCGGCTACCCTGGATTTGGAGAAGGCTGAGGTTCTTAATGAGTTCTTTGCTTCAGTCTTCACCAGCAAGTGCTCTGACCACACCACCCAAGTCTTGGAAGGCAGACACAGGGACTGTGAGAATGGAGACCTTGGGCCCACTGTAGGAGACAATCAGGCTCAAGATCATCTTAAGAACCTGAACGTACACAAGTCCATGGGACCTGATGAAATCCATCCGCAGGTCCTCAAGGTGCTGGTGAATAAAGTTGCTAAGCCACTGGCCATCATATTTGAAAGATCATGGCAGTCAGGTGAAGTCCCCAACGACTGGAAAAAGGGAAATATAAGTCCCATTTTCAAGAAGGGGAATATGGAAAACTCAGGGAATTACAGACCAGTCAGTCTCATCTCTGTGCCTGGCAAAATCTTGGAGCAGATCCTCCCAGAAGGCATGCTAAGGCACATGAAAAACAACAACGCAGCTGCTGACAAACAACATGGCGTCAATAAGGGCAAATTAGATGATCTTAAGGTCCTTTCCCACCCTAACCATTCTACGATTCTATGATTATTCATTGTTCCATCTCTTTATTTGCATAGAGGGCACTGAAGTATATTGTCACACACCCTGTTGAACTGTTTTGGAATGTATTATCACTTCCCTTCAAAGCAATTATCCTCAGTCAAATTACCAGATTTAACTTTAGAAAGAAGCTCTTGGTGAATTCCACCTACAGATCTTCACTGAACTACTGTTCCTGTTTTGTAATACATCTATCCAATCCATAAGAATATACTGCAGGAAATGGCTCTCCCTTTTTCCTTGGTGGGAGGAGCAAGAATTCCACAGTGGCGACAATTATGTGATGTTCCTTCAGCAAGCCCGTTACATCTTATACTTGCTACAGCTTATCTCTATAAACACATACCTAACAACTACTCCTCTGTAATCTTGTGTTTGGGATTTTTACTTAATATGAATTTCAGACAGCTAAGCTCACAACTGCTAAAATACAAAACTGTGGGAAGAGCCACCACCTAACTCATCAATTCAAAATCATGATTTCTTCATCATCCACAGCATTTAAATCTGTATAAAGAAATTTCTCTTATACCTCATTTCCTAATTCATGATCTTAAAACCAAGAAAAGTGGACTAGAATCACTGCTTTTGGCTGTTAAAATCAACAGAATTACTGCCTACGTTTCCCAAGAAGCATACTCTACAGAAAAAAAGAAATCCCAAATTCCAGTGCAGAGCCTAGAGCTACTATGTGCCACTGCTCAGTCATGCCTATAGATCTTTTCAATCTTCCGTGCCCAGAGGAAGCACACTAACCAGAATATATCAATTCACCTGAAGCTAAATACATGAACTGAGGAGAAAATTAATTTAATAATGTCACCTTAGGAAGCTCTATGGATTATGGCTACAGTATAAATCCTCAGAGATATGTAACTTTGCATTAGAACTTCCCTGCTAATTGGAAAAAAAAAAAAGTTTAAAAAGAAGAAAGTTTTAAAAAAAAAAAAAAATCGATCAAGTTAGCATTACTTACAAGCAAATGTAGTCAGAGTTGATATACATACCCTTTGCTTCTCAGGGTCAACATACCGAATGCCAAAATAGTCTTTTTCCAGCAAGTTGTAATAGTTGCAGATGTGATCTATGAGAAACTGACCTTTAGTTTCCCTCTGTTAAAAAAAAAAAAAAAGAAAAAGAATTGATTTAGTAGTCTGAGTACTCTGACCTTGCTGCCTATAAATATTTAAAAAAATGTAACAAGTATCAAGGAAAATGGCACATGAAATTTGTTGTTACTCAGATGAGAATAAGGTTTTGAGCATTTATCTCATCTAAAAGATGCAGGAGATTAGTGATCAATATACACCCTGCACATTCACAAATTGATTCGTTCAGAAAAACACTATCACTACTCCTGTCCCAGGAAAACTCATGCTACTTTAATAGCTACATATTCATAACATCCAATATATTACTAAGAACCACACTTCCACCTGATGTTATAATGGCGTAACAAATAGACACCCACTTACATATGGAATTTCAAAGCTATATGTGTTTTTTTTTTATCCCCCAAGTTTGCAAGCAGCTTCGGCAGTGAGTATCTTACCAGATCTTTATGCAATGCCCACAGAAAAAGGGGGCTGATCCTTAATTCCCAGACAGCATTACAGTACAAGAAAGAGATGCTCAAATGACTAAAAGAGATCTTTTCATTTCACTGGGTAGCTACAGCCTTATGGAAAATTACCGTACACATGATGTTCTGTTAACAATCTCATTCTTTATTTCTGCTTTCTTGAATCCCAATACTATGTTTCATTTCTCCTTAGTCTACTGCCTGATGTGGAGAACCCACAGGAATTTTCATATTTCTACTGGTCCATCCACTGTGACTTTTTTTTTTTTTCCCCTAATTTGAGATGTACCTGAGTATTAACACTGGGCCAAAGCTATTCACCTAAACCAGTCCACTTTAAGCAGACAAAGGTACTTCACTACATTGCAGCGTCAGGTTTCTGCATTTCGTTTCCTTTGTCACCCAGGTCCTACACTGAGACACCTCTGCTGTGGACCGTGCAGCGAGTTTGCAAGCCTCTACCCTTTGCTGACATAAAACAACTTGAACTTTGCTCTTTTATGACTACCATATAGAAACTACAGAGAGTATGCAATCACATTATATAAAAAAAAAATACTTAATTGTTCCTCAAAATGACTCCCTGAAAACTTTGATGCTATGACTTAATTAACCTTTCTTTCAGAATCTAACAGGCAATTTTAGCCATAAACAGAAGAGCTGGGCAGAAACGAACAGGTATCTCCTGCATTTCTCAACGTAGTATACAAAATTGGACACTGTTACCATCTCCATTTCACCTAGGAGCAGCTGAGGCAAAAACAGTGCTGTGATCCATCCAAGGTCATTCTCTAAAGGACAGAGGAAGCAAGAGGGCCTCAAGAACACCACTGTCCACTGAGACCTACTGCTTCCCACATTAAAAATGAGACACACTTCAAGACTAGAGTGTTAGAAAAGAACACAGTCTGTGAACTACTGCTCTATTTTCTTATCTTTACAATTAATAAGGAATTCTGACATGGATAGTGTTACTTATTTGTTCAATCCCATTACTTAAGGAAAGACTAACTAAATAAAAAGCACCTTCAGTTATGGTACTGACAAGAGAGCTGCATGGCACTTCCAGTACACTGGGGCTCCTGCAACCAACCCAGTCCCTACCATATGGATGTTCTCTCCTGAATTCAATTCCAGCCTCGAGGGAGTTGCTAATTTCTCTACGTATTTCTTTTTCCTAGACAAGGGGGACTCTGCTTCTCTTCCTGCTGTGTAAGCCACCTACTTCCATCACTCCCTTCTTCGTCCACCTTCTGCCTCCTATGTATTTACCCTTCAGTCTGTGTCCTTTACTCTCCCATATGCTGCTATTTGCCTGGAGGGTATCACTGCCTTGTCTATACCACAGTATTTCTGTACTTTTTTCTATTTTTAAACAGCCAGTATCAAAAGATGTTAACCCGATTTGTCTGTTTTCTATGCATGCTCACTCAACCTTATGCTTTGCGACCTGCATTGCTGCGTTTTTCCACGTGATATAGCTGCAACAGTTTTCTGTCTGCAGTTGTTTTTTTTCCAGCTTCATAACATTTAAAAAACAACTTCTTTGCTGTTAAGAGTGATTAACACATTCACTGACATTTTTTATACTGCACCCAGTACAAGTATGGGCATGCTTGTGACAGCATAGAGAGAACTTTCCCCAAAAAGCAGAGCTCGTATCAAAGACTGAAAAGTAAGGAAAGAAAACTGCCACTCACCATGTGACTGACATAAAAAAGTCTACAACTACACATATACATCTCGATAATGTATTTTCTAGCTTAAAATCTTAGAAGTGTCTGCAAACTTTTGTGACTATGAGATAAGCAAGGCCATCAAAATATTAAGTTAAAATTGCACAGTGATGTTTCAGTACAAAGGCAGTTGGAAGAAAATTGAACTCAGATGTGAAATTCAAGCTGCACACAGTTTTAAGATGAATTTACAATGAACTAAGCAGAACTGGGGAACAACAGCTATTAGGTGACTCAGGTACAGTCAAACATGAACACAGGTATTACTGACAAGAGTGTACAAAAGAAATACAATTTTTAAAACACTGGATATGAGGAAACCAGACTAGTTGTATTTTCATCTGACAATATTAGAGGGTGTTCCTGGAAAAACAGCCAGTTAATGAACTAACTTCTATAGGCTCACATTCTAAACAGTTCATTTAAAAAGCCCTTTGCTTCACCCACCTAAATAATCACAAAATTTTTTTTGAGTTCTTGAGGAATCTGGTAAAAGGCTAGGGCATGTAGAGTGTTTTCCAATCCAGTAACAACACTCCCTTTCTAAATTTACATGATGCCCTGGTTTCCTTGCTTGAAAGATAAGATGATAGAAATGAACCAAACAGAAAAAAAAGCAAATGAACAAAAGCCTCTGAGCTAAATTCATGCTCTAGGAAACCTTAAGCCCTCCACAGATACATAAAAGAGACTAGTTTAATAACCTGACCCTTGGTTAGTATACACTTCAGTTAATACTGCCCCTTAGTCAGGCTTCATGTTTCGCATGATTCATTACCAGATACTTAAAAAGATTCAAGATGTTCAAAAGTGGCTAAATAGGCACATACATAATGTAAGGAGTGTTCTGGTAAGAAATACTATTGTAAATGTTGCATTATTATGCTTTTGAAATAACTGAAATATGAAAAAAATTCAGATCATAACTGATACACAGAGAAAAAATATGTGATATGGCATAGAACACCTCAAGTATGAATTTATAATAGATAGTGTGGCAAAAAGGATAGACAGTGTTGTTAATTTTGTTTTCTGTAAACAGCATCCATAACTATATTCTGCATTTCTCTAACAATGCTCTGAATTCTCCTGAGCTTTAGAATCTGATGATCTTTCTTGTCTCCTCCATTCTTTGATATAGTTATTACATATTATGATACAAAAGAATGTATCAAATCTATAGCCTAGTCTCATTTCTGAAAGAATATGGATAAATTGAATTCGGAACTGCCAGTCAGCCACAACAGAGCACGGGAATGAATTTAGGTCACAGAATAATGAATATAAAACATTGCCTGAAATTCCAGACAGTTGTCATATAATAAGTGATCCTTCAAGGGGAAAAAAAAAAAAAAAAAAAATCCAAACCAAACAAAACCTCAAACAACAACAAAAAAACAAAATAACCAAACCCCAAATCCTGCTGAATCCCAATGAAGTATTCAGCAGCAATTCAGACCAATAATTTTCTGTTATATTTCAGCATGTTTGCAGAACATGAGAAAATTACATCATAAAAAGCACCATTATCTGAAACACTACTGAAAAAATCAGGAACAGATCACAGGAATCTGAGAACAAAAATCAAGTCAGATTTTTTTAAATCTTCATAGCTGAAATCTTTGATAATTATACCACAGTTCATGGAATAGTCATCAAATATGCTCAAGTGAAAAAGACCAACCCGGGCAGAAAGAATCACTAAAGTGACACAACCAAATGTCCAAGATCGTAGACAATACAATGATTTAAAACAAAGAATATCCAATTCAACTAGCCAGATTTTTGTAACCCATATTCTATGAAAAGTGTTTTTTAAAAGGTCCTTAAACAATATCCTATAATTCCACATGATCATATAAAAATGACTTTTGGAGATTCACAGAAATAATTTGAGAAACAACTCTCAGATTTGCTCATATGAATTTGCACAGACAAGATGGGTATGTTTTTCCTGAGACTGCATTTGAATATCTGACCTTAATACCAGTAAAATCCCACAAGAAACCCCAACACACATTCAAGGGATATAATGCCATGCGAATGACAGAATCCCTGAACACAGAAGGTCAGCTTGCAAACAATTATTAAACTCTGCTTTTTAAGCTGGTTCAAAAGTATTATTTTCTACTGAAACAAGCATGTATTCAATTCAACTAGCAGCTGTTGCAAAAGGATTAAGCAAAACAAGGGACATTCTCCACTTCAACAGAACATGAAATTGTGATCATACAGGGTCCGTCACTCACAAACTGACAAGACAATCTAAGTTTCTGCCTTAGCTCTAGGAACCAAGTAAAGACACTATAGAGATGCTTAATTTTCACTACTCGATGACTACAGCTTCTGCTACTGCAACTCTGCAAATTTATGACTGAGTAACCAAATTCCTTGGTAACTCCTCTGTTATGCAGAAAATAATACAAACAATAATCTCCATGGCTCCTGAGCAGTTTCGGTCTAACACAATATCCCAATTTCATGCTTGTGTTGGGGATTTCTTTTCTTTTTTTATTCCTAGTTTTTATGTGCAAGCTAAAAAAGCAAGAAAGAATGTATCTTGTTCTGCCAATTTTACTGTTCTCAGATGACAAAGAATGACACCATGAAACATTTGTGACCGCTTCACAATTCTGAAAGTAAGAAGAAAGCCATTTATAGCAGTTTAAGAACATGCATTCGGTGAAACATCTTCCTTATTTTCATTTGCTTCACTGTGTTCTATGTCTATTTATCTGAACGTCACAAGAGCAAGAGTCAAGCAGATTAAACAGTGCTTCTGCTCTGTTATCTA